ACCTGTTAGTCTCTGAAGTTCCTAGCCCCTGCATATTGCAGCCTTGTGTTCCTACTGTGCATGGTGGTGGCCTACTCCTGGGCAGAGTCTGCTTTGCTGAGTCTGATCAGTTGTCATCTGCATTATGACATTGCTATGGTCCAAAGTCAACTTTTGTATGGATGATAAATTTACTTCTCTTTACAACAGCAGACCTCCAGGAGATGTGAGAGAGGGATGGATATAAATCCAGTTTAATCCAGTTTTTGAAAATCACTTTATACAATGGAATTATTTCATTTTACAAATAAATTATGTGATGGCACAATTAAATTCTTCTCTATTGAGGATAATGTGTCTTGTTAATTCAGATTTTTGTGGTTTATGTGATTCTCAGAAGTGGCAGAGATATTTATTTTATTTGACCTTTAGGATTCAGCTCAGATTCCTATCATGAAGCCTGTTCTGTCACTCCAGTCCCAAAGCTCTTTCCCTTCCCTGAACCCTGTCTGTAATTACTCATTGAGGCAGATATATGACCACACAAAAATATTATGATAAAGTTATGAGGCTGACTCACAAAACCTTGGTTTCAGACTCATTACATTATTGTCGTATATCATTTTAAAATTACTTTTCTTTAAACACATCTTTCTCTAGCTTCATAGTAGCTTTCTTTTGAAAGAGTCTAGCTTTAAATTTCATTATACCTCCTGAAGCTTTTTGCTTTCTCTGATGACTTGTCTTTTTGCCTTCCAGATGTTTATCATTTTGAGCTGGATATAGGTAGATGAAGATATAATTCAGATACACTGTGGGATATATGGACTCCTAGAAAAGATGGCATCTGAGCTGAATTTGAGTCAAGAAATGTGATCAGGCAGAAGGTGAGAACATTAGAGAGGCAGCAGCCTAAACAGACACATAGAAATATAGAAGAGCATAATGTGTTTGAGAAAAAAATGAGGAGAGGGTAGGGTGGAGAGTGTTAGCAGAGTTTGGGAGCTGTGCTCAGGAAGTAGCTGTAATAACAAGAATGGCCCCTTTGGGGCAGGTTGTTACAAGTCCTGAGAGCCATGCTAAGGAATTGAAATTCCTAACTGTAAGCCATCAGGAGCTATTGGACAATTTTAAAGGAGTTGAATGGTAGGTCTTAAATTTTTAAAAAGATAGCTCTGATGTTCCAAACCTCAAATAACCAAACCTGCCTGTCTGCTTTGAAGCATTTTGAGGTTTTATTCTCTGTCTTTGTTGATAGCGGTTTGGAACACGACAGTTGTTTTATTCATTCTGGAAAGTTTCTGATCATGATTAGGATCCACTCTGTTTTCAGCCTCATTTTTCTTTTGTAAATGACATCAAGGATTGAATTTCTTTTGAAATATCTTTCTCCCCTGGATTATCCAGTGCCTTAATTTGGAGTCTTGAATGTAGAATGAGGATAAAATTTTATTTTTTCAGGGTTGGCTGTTCTGGAAAGAAACATCATGAATAGTTGAAATGTGCAAGCAGAATTATTTATTGAGAGGAGAACTAGAGACCTCTGTACCCTCCCTTTTTCTTGCACACCATCAATAGGCCAGCTAGAGTCTCTTTGCAGGATATAATTAAATACTTCATTACCGTTGTTTTTTTTTTTTTTTTTTTTTTTCCAGAACCAGGGATTGAACTCAGGTCCTTGGGCTTGCTAGGCAAGCGCTTATTCAACTGAGCCATCTCCCTGGTCCCTCATTACCATTGTTTTTTTTTTTTAGTGGAACCGGGGATTGAACTCAGGCTCTTGCGCTTGCCAGGCAAGTGCTTATTCCACTGAGCCATCTCCCTGACCCCTACCATTGTTTAATAGGGCATCCGTATTTTTTCATGTTGTTCCTTGATCCTGGTGCTATTGCAGTAGCTTCCTCATTTCTCACTAGTTTCCTTGGGAGTCTAGAAGCAGCAGAAACTTGACAACTTCCTAGGAAATTGCAGTGGAGGGAGGGGTGAAGCCTTCTTTGCTCTGCCTGGAGGCTGTCAGGGTAGTTGATGCTGGGCTTGAATTTTAGAGGGAATTACTCTACCCCAACCCTCTGCTGACACCTGTAGTTGTGTGAGCTTTGAGCAGTAAACCCTCACCCCCAAGAAATGTTGTGGTTTTTAAAAAAGGCTATTCTCTCTGCTTGCTTTCAAACTGTGATTGCTTAACTCAAAAGATTATTATTGGTATGTAGAAACATTTAGTGCCAAGACGTACACTCCAAATCTCTGCCAATTATTTCTTGAAAAGATTAGTTTTTGTTAGTTGTTTGGTAACTGGAAGACAGAAAGACTTAACTCACTCAGCACAGAGTTCCCAGTTTGAATTGGACTAAGCTAGCATATGATGTACAAATGATGGCTTGTGTTGAGTGGTTTCTGTGTTTTCTGTTATAACGCATACACCTTTGGTACACAGAAGGTGTTGTTAGGTACATGGAAGGTAAGTGAATTACCTGAAACTGTAATTGCTGAAATGTTGAGATTATGTTTGGAAGGGCTTTTGTTTGTTTCTGGTGTAAAGAATGGTGATAGCTCTCATTCTCACATTCCCAGAAGGCCCAGTCACCAGTTTGCTATAGAGAGGAGCCTCAGGACAGTCACTTGAGCACAGCAAAAGGAAAGAACACTCACATTGGAATAGATTCCCTGTGTGACCAGGAAACACGTGGGCACATTTTTTTGGGTTTTTTTTTTTTTTAATTTTTTTTTAGGGAAGGGTCTACAGGGTGTTCAGGGTCTCACTACTAGATTGGACTCATAATCCGCCTGTTTACAGCCTTCCAAGAGCTGGGATTACAGGCGCATGCTACCATACCCAGTCTCAGTTGCCTTCTCAGTGAGCCCTGGAGGTGAGGTTGGCATGGTAGATCCTGCGATCAAACCCCCGGGCCCTGTGCCTGCTTGCACTGAGCTATTTGGCCAGCCCTTGGACACATATTTTTGAGACTGTCAAAGTACACATTGGTAGTTTGTTAGTTTGAATCACATTATTTCAAATGTTATCATTTTGTGATTATGGAAGTTTAATATTTAAAAATAAGTACTGGTTCATGGGTGTGATAGGCACATTTCATTAAGTTTTTCTTTATTTAATGTTCATTTGTGTTCAAAGAGAAGTTTAGGATAAGTGTCTTTCTGTGTATAATCTCTCACATAGTTAGAATAAACAGAATTAACAGAGAATGGGCTCAATACTTGGATTTTATGTCCTAACCTTTTGCTGTTGTTTTCCTAGGGCTATGCATCTGGTAAGGTACATAGATGTCTGACTTCAGATAGCACAGATAGGAAGTTGTAAGTAGGAAGAACTCGAGAATTTGAGGGCACATATAGGTAATCTCAGCCTTGTGTTTATGAAGTGGCTATAATGCTCAGAACACTTTTGTGTTGCTCTGAGGATGTGACCACATGTAGAAGCCCTTTATAAATTCTATTTTTTTTTTTTTTTTTTGGTGGAACTGGGGTTTTGAACTCAGGTCCTTGTGCTTTCTAGGCAAGCGCTTATTCTACTGAGCCATTTCCCAGGCCCCTAAATTCTATTTTTTTAAAGGTTTTTTTTGAAATGAAGCCTCACTATAATTCAGGCTGGCCTTGAACTCACTATGTAATCCAGACTGACCTTGAACTCACAGTGATCCCCTGGGGTTCCAAGCCTGTGCCTTCACATCTAGCCTTAATTCTAAACCCTCTTCCCCCACATAGGGACTAGATGGAGAAACTGAACAGTTTTCCTGGTATCTTACTCCACATTTGAGTGGCTGCTGGTTGTCCTCTAGCACATGCTGGCACCTGTCTCTTTTGGAACATCTCCACTGTTGCATTTAGGGTCCTTAAAATACTCCTGTGCTTATGGTAAATTCCCTTTTAAAAGTTACTTTTAGAATAATTGAAACCAGGACATAGAAGAATTAACTGAGTAATAGGAAACTTTGTTTTGCTAAAGTGTCTTTTTTCTGTATGTTCTTTTCCTCTAGGTTCTCTGAAAAGGAGCCATTTAATAGTTTCTGAGTTTATCTCACCTTCAATTCCACTTGTATGTTGAAGTTAACTGGCTACATGTAGGTTCTGGGAGAAGGAAGCTGATTAATTTAGTTGGGTCACATATCCATCCCCAGTCCAATAAAGTCCAATAGTAAAGGCACTAGTGTTACATAGCTTCTATTCCATAACTCAAAGTCTTCTTTAGCTTGGAGAAGAAGAGGTAGCAGCTATCATGACAAAGTCCTGGGCCTCACAGAGCTTACAGTCTATGAAGAGAGATAACATTATACAGATAATTGTGACGTGGTATGACAGACCTAACTTGGAATAGGAGATCTTGGGAATCTTCCTTAAGGGATAGTGGGTACGATTAACAAAAGAAAAGGAGGACATAGATCATGACTAATGTAAAAAAATTAGTTTTCCAGAAAGAGGAGGCAGAGGAATAGAAAAGCCAAGCAGCAAGAAAAAATCTGACCATTTGCAGTGTAGAAAATAAGAAATCTGTGATGCTTTTACAGCAATGGTGTAATTATGTGGCTGTTCTTTTTGGCTTAAATTGGCAGTTCTTTGAGAGTAGACCATCTTTTACATTGCTTTTGGAAGTAGTTTCTAATGGACAGCTTTACATGGCAGAGCACATTAGCATTCATTGAGTAATTTTGTGGTGCGGCTTTCTCCACAGCTTTCCTGTACTTGGTGTTCAAGCCTTTCTACATTTTAGAGTGTATCCTCTTGCCATTCACTGTAAGATGGCTTGTGTCTCCTCATGGAGTGGGTTTGCAAGAGGGATAAAAAGGAAATTACAGCCATTTTTGGAAGGGTCAATAATGGTCATTTTTCTTTCTTCTACAGATACTGCTTTTATATTGTATTCTTGTCTGCCCCTCCTCCAATGCTTGAACAGATGTTTTAATGGACATTGTTGGCTATGTTTTTGTTTTGAACATTTTAAAACATTTTTGAAAGAGGAGAAGGCTAGAAAAAAACTAATTGATTCTAATTTATATTTAATTTGGCAGAACTTGAAAGAGACTTGCTGGGATAAGGCGGGATATTTCTTTGATCTACCAGACTTTTTATCGTGGAAAGCAACAGGTGTCACAGCACGGTATGTTAATTACAAGTTGAATTTTATTTGTGCCTTCCATTCTTGGATGTCTGTGTATATATATATTTCTTTTTTAACTCTCTTTGACTGGACATACTATTTGTACATCTGCATATGATTTTGTGTACTTGGGACATCTTGAATCTATCATCCATCTCCATTGCACATGCCCAATCTCTAGTGTTCTTGTGAGGCCAGGAATACAAGTTTCTAAGCTAAAGGCTATTCATTAAAACTGAACGTATTTGAAGGAGATATGAAAAATCCAGAGTGAAATGTGACTTTTTCCAAAAGCACTTTTTGCATGATAAATAAAAGGAAAAGTGTTTATGGATAGCCCTAAATTAGGACAGAACATGTTTTTCAAGGGCATTGGTTTTCAGGAGATATATGACATATATTTAGTTTTCTGTTATATAAATGTGATTTAATAATCCCCTATAGTAGAGGTATGTATATTGACATCAACAACCATTTTCATGAATGTTAAATTATAAGCTGCATGACAGATTTTTGCAGAACACTCATTGAGTACAAAATTGGTACTGTTGTAATATAAAAAATGGGTGTGTGCATGGGGTTAGATAGGTTAGACACAAATTAAGTGTAGATGGAAAGGTTGGAAATGGAATCTCTAAGTATGACCAAGCTGTTGTCATCCTAAATTTAATGGAATGCACAAGGGTAGGGAGGTTCCTCAACTTGTAAAGGATCTAGAATTTGGATTATACAAACCTGTGATGCAGAGAATCCAGTTCCCAGAGGATAAAAACCTGTGTAAATTAGAGGCAAATGCTTTATCTTAAAGCCAGTGCCTTCAGAAGAGGGAAGGAAGGTCCTCCATGTTTTCTCATTTAAGCTCACGGGATGCTAGAACTAGCAGTGCTACTTCCCCTGTGCTGCTTTTTCCTGTTTTGTAGGTCTAGGATCTTTTCTTGTAGTGAGTTGGTAGGAGTGTAAGAGTTGAGCAGCAGAGGCTTCTGGGAAAAGATAGCAGAGGATGTTTCACAAGTGTGTCATTGTTCATGGCCCCCCCTCCCCCCAAACAACTGTTAGCCAAAGGTCTCAGTGTGGAGGTAACCCCACTGTGCCTGAATCCAGCTTTGGCAAACCTGAAGTACTCATCCCCATCAGGAAAGCAGGCCCTAGAGATGTTGAGTGAATTTTGCCATGAACAGTATTAGTCAATATTATGCAGTCTATGTGTATGCTTGAAGACCTCATCTTGCGCATTTGTCTTTTGGTGTGACATTGTCAAAATTTATTTCTGCCAGAAACTTTCTATAGGTTTTTTTATACACCAGTGAAAGAAACATTTTGATAATTTTATCCAAGTAAACCTCTTATTCAAAGCAATGGCAGTAGTTGTGTGTTTGCAGGCCATTGACCTACAAGTCTTTTTTTTTTTTTTTTTGTATTTTAGGGAAGGGCCTACAGGGTGTTCAGGGTCTTACTACTAGATCAGACTCATACTAATCTGCCTATTTATAGCCTCCCAAAAGCTGGGATTACAGGTGTGTGCCACCATGTTCAGTCTCAGTTGCTGTCTCACTGCGCCCTGGGGGAAGGCACCACAGGCCTGGGGTTTGAACCCCTGGCCCCTGTGCCTGCTTGCAGGCACTTTAATCCGATGAGCTATTTGGCCGGCCCTGGACCTACAAGTCTTGAGGACTCAAGCATGGAGCTAGAGATGGAGGAGGGATTTATTTTTCTTTTCTTTTTGGTGGGTGTTGTTCCACCCAGTGCCTTGACTTCCTCCCTGGTTTGCTCCGATGGCTCTGAATGTTTACATGCCCACTTCTGGGTGTCCAAGCCATAGTCGCACACTGAGGAATGGGCTTTTTGAAGATAGCTTTGGCTCCAATGGGCTTAAACAAAATGGTATTTGAATGTATTCTTTACTAGCTGTGTGACTTTGGGCACCTTTTCTTCTTCTTTGTGTTTTGCTTTTTTTTTTTAATGATACCTACCTACAAGCTTGTGAGATCTGTGATAGTAGTTTTCCTAAACTAGCCTCATTGTAAGAGTTATCGAAGTCATGGTTCAAACCACAGATCTACAGGAGTTGTAGTTTTCAAACTACTGAATCCGAAACTTCCTGGCAGACCTGAAATTTATGTTTATTTTTATTGATCAGATTATTTCGGACAACAGTATGCAGAATATATGTAAAAGTGTGACTCTGAAGTGCTCTGTGCTTGTTAGAGATTGGAAGCATTTTGTAGGCCCAAGGAATTTTGTGGTTTCAAAATTGGAAGGCTCCTTGCTGACCTATTAGAACATATTTGGGGTCTTCCACCTGTCTGTGACAATCTCAGCCCTTGAAGAAGCAAAGAGCTTAATGCTCAGAAATGATTTATTTGCCATCCATCATTGCCGCCATTTTTTTTATTAGCTATGATACATACACTGTTTTCATTAGTACTAATTATCTTTTCCCTCCCTGCACCCTGTCCATACTTGGAGCAAGTTCTAAGGGCACCCCTACAGGCTCTTTCCCCTGTACAGCAGATTCTTTAGGCCTTGGGCACCACGCACCAAATTCCTCTTGCAAAGTGGCTGCCCATTCTCTGGATCTCTTTCCAGCTTGTGTTTATCTTCTTCCTCTTCTGTTTACTCAGTGTCTCAATTTTTCCCCTTTGCTATTTCAAACTGCATGATCAAGATGGAAAGGTTAACTTTTTTGAGATTTCTTTTTTTTTCCCCATAATTTTATTGAGAAGATTTCTTGATTGCTATTTTAGATGATCACAGCACTGTCTCTATGGTGTTATTGTATGGGCTTGAGATACCAGAAACACTTTTAATAATACTGCAGAAAAAATTTTTTAAAGGGATTAGCTATTCTTAATTCACTTTCTGAGTTCAAAGCATCATACAACAGCAACATATAGCAAGCCATGTGTATAGCACCACAGTTTGAAAGGCTAAATCTCAGAAACTATCTAGATGCCCATCAATGGATGAGTAGATTAAAAAAAAATATATTTTTAGGTATGATTGAGTACTACTTTCCCCTGAAAAAGGATAAACTTGAGTCATGTCTAAGTAAATGGATGCACCCTGTGATCATACTTTTAAGTGAAATAAATCAGACATATGTTTTTAACTATCTCATTGTAGGGAATAGGGGAGAGGGAAGAGAAGAAATAGAAATGGAAAATAAAAGAGAACTGAAGGGAAAAATTAGGACTTAAACTGAAAACAAAGCTTGGCAGGAAAGAGAAATTAAAGCTTGGGGAGGAGAATGGGGATAAAAAAAATTAAGATCTAGAAAGGGAGTCAGGGCCTAGGCCACTACTGCCTCTTGGCTGCTGCCATCCCCATGACTGAAGAGCTCTCTGTGGCTACTTCGAACAGTAAAGATTATTTCTACTGTGCCACCTATCAGGAGGTGCTCAAAATGGCTGTGGAGACCACATGGCGTGTCGACACGTTTGCTATGAGAAATGTTTCCTGACTGCAACAAGAGAAAGTGGAGCGCATTGTCTCTTGTGTCATGGCAATGTGATTAGAAGAGAAAGAGCGTGTCCAGAATGGACATTAGATCTTGCACACGTCATGTGGAAATTTTCTGGTAGCTTCAGATATTGTGCAAAACAGATTAAATTTTATTGCATGAGACAGCATTACAAATCTTATAAGAAGTATCAGGATGAGTATGGTGTTTCTTCTATCATCTCAGATGTTCAGATTTCTCAATTCTGTAGGGAATAGCAATGGGTGTGACACATCCACATCTGCTAACACAGATACTTATCAAGAGAATACAAGTTCTTCTGGGCATCCTACCTTTAAGTGTCCCTTGTGTCAAGAGTAATTTTACCAGATAATGCTTGCTGGATCACTGTAATAGTAGCTACCTATTTCAGATAGTTCTTGTAATTTGTCCTATTTGTGTGTCTTTTCCTTGGGGAGGTCCTAGCAAGATTAGTAGGAATTTCATTAGTCATCTGAATCAAAGATTTCAGTTTGATTATGGAGAATTCGTGAATCTTCTGCTAGATGAAGAAACCCAGTATCAAATTGCTGTTGAAGAATCTATTCAAGTAAACATCTAAAGCCTATAGATGTCTCTGCGTCTCTGTACCTGCAGGTGCCATCTTGAAGGGGAAGATTGCATAAAGTCATTGTCTCAGTGACTTGATGTGTATATTAATAAAAGTAATTCAACCTATTTAAGTTTTTTAATTAAAAATGCAGTGTTTTTATTTTATTTCATCCTTTTGATAAGTTAAAAAATGAAAGTTACAATATTACTTTAAAAGCATGAAAAAAGTTATATTTCACTAATGTAGTAATGGAAAGGGAATCCTTGTTGCACTTCATGTCTTGGTATTACCTGTGATTGGATTTTTCATGTTCCTGTGTTGCTTTTGAAATTTGGCACAGTTCTTTACATTTATATATTTTTGTACACAAGTAACACAGTAGCAAATTCTGAAAGATGCAATTGATTAAACCTAACAAATCTGAGCCAGTTGTCAGAGTTGCGTAATGGAAACTCCAAGTGCTAAATAGTCTAAAGGAAGTTTTTAAAAAGACATTCTAGCTGAAGAATTCCACCTGGCAAAAAAATTATATTTGCATAAAATGTAGTATTTCGAGATTTTTCTTTAGTAGTTAAAGTTTAAAAGTGCAAGGTCATTGTAAGGATATTTTCTTTTTGCTATGAGCAGGAAATATCAAGACAAAAATGTATGTCTTTGGTGAGCAGCAGGTTATTTCATTATTGTTTGTTTGACAAATTTGTATGTCCAATGTCACAAGCTGTGTAGAAGTACTTTGACCTCAGAACTTTGAACCGCCAGTGTTTCTCAATAGCTAAGATCAAATTTACAATAGAAACTTTCAGGTGATCATATATGCTATAGACAAACTTAAAGAAGGTGTTTAAATAAATGCATTCAAAGCTAAAGATACATATGCATACATTTTTGCATGTATATGTATGTATATAAAATATACATCTTTGCATGCAATTTGTCAGGTTATATATA